ATAAAGTCCCCCGTACGAGTGTGCCCGGAGAAAAGGTGGCTGCCGTTTTCTTCGTTCCGGCAGATTTTATCGCGCATAGTGCTCCGGGATGGCATACTTGAAATTTCCGTCGGGGAAAGGAATCGATATCTCGTGCGCGAGGACGAGAAACGCGTATAACGGGATACGAGATTAACTTATTTAGATACGCGGTATAACGTTGAATGTAATCTCGGAGAAGTGAATTTTCGTTTTAAACGACGCTGTGTGCGGTTAGACGACGATCCGTATCAGTGCTTGAATACTCTCGCGAACAGCACGTCTCAATATTTTACATTATAATTCCAACATGTTTGTTTTTCATCGCTTCTAATGTATCGTCACGATCGTTTCATTCATCGCTACGAGGTGGTGCAATTTTTTTGCGGATATATAAGGGGGCTCATAAAATATTCTTCGAGGTGGAGGCATGTCGCGGGAAACCGCGGGAAAAACACGACATAAATCTAAGTTTAGGAAAATGTGGCAGCTTCGATAATGGAGAATTTTCCTTCCTCCTTTACCTTCCTCCTCCTCCTCCTCCTCCTCCTCCTTCAGCCGTTTTCCGCCCGACGATAAACTTTGCCGAGAGAGAAGAGGAGACATCGAGAGTGGCACTCTCGATCCCCTTCGCGTCGATAGAATATTTTATTTAATGAAGACCTAATATAAATATCGAAGATTAATCGAGGCGTAATGCGCTCGTTCCCGGATGATAAACTACCCGGTCGGACCGATAACAGCAGAGTCACTGTCCATCAATATTACGCGCTTGCTTGCCCCAACCCACCGTCGACCCCCTCGGAGAGTCGAACTCACTTTATTCCGACGAGAAAAGTGAGTTACCCACTTTTCCTCGTCTTCGGGCATCTCGTCCCACCCGAGAGGTGGAAAATCCCTTTCAAATATAATTATGTCGAGTGACCTTGTTACGGCTCCGCCTACCATCCTTCAAAGTCGTTATAAACCCTCATAAATTATAACTAAGTTCCACGCCACCGGAGATCTCTGTCAGTTCGTGCCGCCATCGTACGTTTACCGATCGCTGTGGCTCCAGATTTCGTATTCGGAATTATGATAACGAGATCCGAGGAGTCAGCCGTATTACGTTTTGAGCATTTACATAGGGCGATGCGCAGAAACGTCTGCCGAGCGGCGAAATATCGCGCGCTGCATTTCCATCACGATTTAATTCTCCATCGCGAGCATCCTGAAGTCTAAGAACGCTAAGTTGAAGATTTAAGTTTTCATTTTTCGAAAAATCCCTAAGAAAGAATAATCTCGTAAAATATATGAATCAGGAGAAATTACGAAGTATCAATCCCTAAAAATAATTGCTACTGCTTGGGGAGAGAACTCAAGAACTAAAGTTGGATTTATTGGACGGTTGTATAGTGTAAATACCGAAGGTTGATCCAACTCTATCGTTTTGGTCTGTCGCTATCGAGAATAGATTTAGCGACGATAAAACGAATCACGACGCCCCATACGACGCCACGTAATACTAACTAAACAAGCGAGGAACGCTTATCGCGAGAGAGAGAGAGAGAGAGAGAGAGAGAGAGAGAGAGAGCGTACGTTGCTGTGCTCACGCTATTGGAAAATTCTCCATCTAACGTGAAAGTGCCTCTCCTGCGAGTCGAGCCGTGCGTCACGCATCAACGGAATTCCGGAAAAGCGACGAAGACAGAAGCGACCGAAAGCATCGCGAGTCGACGAGGGGGCGAGGGAGAAAGGAAAAGGAGAATAAAGCTGCATGGTTCATAAACAATTCCATATGGTCCCGAGCGTTCGCCGAGCGGCACTTACGACCGCGATCGCGCGCTTCTTCCTAGCTTCCTCGATATCGTCTCTACTTTACTTTCACCATTTCCGGGCCTCGCCTCGTAGCGTTTATGCCTCCACCGTACCTACCACCGGGTTATACTTTCGAGATTGTTATATACGCCCGCCGACGATTACGCCACCCTCCGCCGCTCGGACTCGAACGAGGGATCGGCGGTGTAGTACAGAGCTATGTGCGGCGAGAAGAAAGCAGAATGAGAGAGAGAGAGAGAGAGAGAGAGAGAGAGAGAGAGAGAGAACTCCATAACCGTAACGGAGCCCAGAAGGTCGAGCTTCAGTTCGGACGAACACAAATCTTCCGTAATGACAGATAGACGCCGGAGCGACCCCTCGTCGCTCGTCCAACCGCGCTCGTCCATGCCAGCCACCGCGAGAAAATGTCAAGGGGTTGGAGAAGCGTTACGAAAGAATTCCTCCCTCCTGTCCCTCAGTCTTGTGTACCGAGGTTTTTGTATGTCTTCCGTCGCTGACAAAAACCGGATTTTATCATAATCGTTGTAATAATCAAATCAACGGCGCTTAAACGACGGTATATCATATTTCGTAAATGATAACAACATGTACTCTTTCTTTCTATCTCTCTCATCATATACCTTCCTCTCGGAGCAAAAACGATCCTATAAGTAAAAAATTAAATACCAAGCACATTCACTGCGTCAAAAAAATTTCATCGAATTTAGCCAAGGTATCCGCTGCCGAATTTTTGCGTTTCACATTGTGTTACAATATCGTAATAAATGTAATGAATTGTCTTGTTCACGATACGCGATGGGAAATCATATCATTTCGAGCGATACGAATAACAAATCATTTTATAAATCGTTGCAAAAAACGAAGGGCTTGAAAATGAGAGGAAAAACAGCATGGCACGAAATATCGCGAGAGGCTCGCACGTCCCCCTTCTAAACGCGAAATCGAGTCAGAAAGCAGCAATGACGGCGACGACGACGGCGATTTTACAGCTGAGTTTTTTTCCCTCCGGCCAGATTGACCATTTGACCATTAATTCCAATCACACAGGCCGGTGACTTTTAATTACCAATGAAATTCCCAGAGCATTGCCTGATGAGGAAAAAATTACCCGCTCCACGCTGGCGCGGACCCTCCCTTCGGGGATCGATGTCTTTTCTCTCTCGTTCTCCTCTCGTCCTTCTCTCTTTCTGCTTTGCTCTTTTCGAACGTTTTCGTTCCCGGTGGGTGATCGAGAACTAAATAGCCCGTTGTCGTCGTCGTGTAGACGAGGCACCGTGCTACTGCCGGTCCGGAACCGCGCGGGCTGCCGGGCATTCGGCCCGGAAATGAGCAAAGCGAAAAAACATGTTTGAACGCCGGGCCAAAGTGTCGTCGGGACCTTGTGTCGGATGAGCAATTGAATAAAGTGCAGGCGTCAATATGTGACGACACTCGGATACGGCGAGGGCGAGAAGGACGAGTAGTCGACGACCCCTCCGCGCCACCCTACAGATAATCGCGCGTCGATCGGATCGATCGCCGGCATTTCGTTTCTACTGTGTTTGTGAGACCTTCCTCGCTCTCCCGGCAAATGCGAATAGAGAAAGAGAGAGAAAGAGAGAGAGAGCCGCGCTTTTGTACTTTTGACACTGCGCGTCGATAGAACATTCGCGACGCAAACGTGTATTCGGCCGTTAGAATTTTTGCAAAATCACGTCACGCAAGCACGCCGCCGCATGTCGCTTTGCCGTTCGGCCAAGAATTGTTCGTCGCGTAAACCTTTACGGCTGCATATCGAACACATCCTTATTAGGACGAAACGAGTTCTGACTGCAATCGCGCTATGATTTCTCCGGGAGGATGAAACTCTCCGGTTTCCGGCATCATCGCTTCTGAAAATACGATGACGTCGCGTACGAGCAGCGGCCGGCCGGCTCTGTATCTTTCACAATATGGGAGCTGCACGACAACCGTTAGACCTCAAGGTTCATTATAATTATGTCGGGCTTAATCGGGATGCGGCGGAACCCGTTCTCGTTGCCGCAAGATCGCTGAGCGAATATATATAAGGAGAAGATAACGTATGAAAATGGCCGCGCACGCTATTCCGCAGTCAGCGCGGCTCTCATCTGATAACCGTGTGTCACTTTACTTTCTTTTTGCTCTTGCAAATCTGCAATACCATCCTTGATTTCGCGAATGCGAATCCCGAGCGCGAGCGATATGCGCGAGATACTCTGCATGACGACGGACACGCATATACGCGAAATTACGCGAGACACACGTCACACGTCATGCGAGCAAAATTCACGTTCCGCAGGAGAATCTCCCCGACAGACTTGAACGATCGCATCAAAGGTAAATCTTCGAAAATCGTCGCGATAAAATCCGGTCCCTCGCGCCCCGTCTCTCCGTCGCTGTCGCCGCGATGGGACAGAAGCGGTCGGGCCCTCGACGTTATTTCAATAAACCAAATGGAATAGGCTGCACGGAGGTGGTATATTTTCCCATAGAATGGAAAGCAGACCAGAGCGAAACGCAGAGAGAGAGAGAGAGAGAGAGAGGGGGAGAGCGAGAGAGAGAGAGAGAGAGAGAGAGAGAGAGAGACCAACGGCGGCGGGCTATGATGGAGCCGTCAGTACATCGTGATCCACGCATCATCAACATTGACGACCTCCGTCCGCTTTTTGGCCCCGACGGAGCCCCTCTTCTCAGGGCCATTGCGCCAGTTTACGAGCCTGCAGGGAGACCCGTCGCCTTCTTCTCTCCCTTTCTCGGTCTATCTCTCTTTGTTTTGTCTTCCCTGCCCGTGCATCGCCCGGCGCGATAGCTGCTGCTGCCGATCGGCGAGCGCGTTTCCCGTGACGTCACCGTCTAATTCACCCTTCACGCCTTGTTAGACCGCGGTAACGTACCGTTTTACGATTCCGTCGTGAACGCCCGCCGTTCACGCCGCGCCGCCCGCGAATTGGCAATTGTTAATTAGCATTCTCGCGGAAGAGGGGGATAAAAGGGCGTCCACCTCGACCTCGGCGGGGTGGGCGACGCTTCCCCCGAAAATTTACAACCGGTATAACCACGACTTACGCACGAGACTTATGTTAGATTCTACATTTTGACTCGAGTATCTCTTTATTTTCACTGATGTTCCGTAAGCGTCTTGTATAACAAATGATTTGACATACCTAAAAATATATGACATAGCGTTGTAGGGTCGACACGGACAAAAAGTGGCAAATCTGCAAACACCGGTCGCAAAACCATGTCGCCGCCATGCGTGAAGTAACATCTTATCGTAGCTCGCGAGTTGAGTGACATCTGCAATTAGAAATAAAACTACTCGTTAGATACCTATAAGTCCCATCTTGTCGCCAACGCTTTCTCTTCGCTTTTGTTTAAAAAATTATTGTTATTGCACTGAATCTAAACTTAATTTGCTATTGATACGTAATGTTACTGGACGGACACGCAATTGTTGCTTTTGTCCTTATAATTCCTTCGTCTTGAATTTTCTTGAATCTTCAAATGCTATCAAAGTTTCCGACGTTAATAAAAATAATTAACTAAACAGGTTTTCGAAAAAAAAAAGAAAGTTTATCAGTGTTTCATTCACTCGCTGATTTGATTAATTATTCTCATGAAATATTTAATATTTGCTTATTAAACCAATCAATTGTAACCGACGGAAACCTATACGAATGTAACAATGCCAATCAAGGCAAAAAATAATATTTATGACCGGATATAGTTTCATAATAAATTCCTCACGTTGCACGCGTAAAGTCACGTGAAACGTTAACCGTGGCGAGCCAGCAATGTGCAGCAATGTGCAGCAATGTGCAACGAGGTGCTCGGTTCCGCGCGACGTTAATCGTCGGGTGAAAGTACGTCACCTGGTAATGCGCAAGGTGATGCGAACATTATATGAAAATGAAGGTGTGTTCCCGCGCGTTTGCAAGACGAGGCGTCCCGACGCGTTCATTAAAGCGTAGCTACACCATGCGAGCGCGATATGCGGGTCGTTCTTGGATTAATAATTCATCGACAATTAGCCCTTCGCAGGTGGTCAGAATAAAATGCAAGGCGGCATATGTTTGTCCTGATGAATCATAGTAGGAATTAGCATAACTAACCCGCCACGAGATCATTAGCATATTCGTGTCGATAGGCGTGCACCGGGATCTCGCATGTTTGCCGCTCGTCGTGTACTCCCGACAGCGCTCCGAAGTTATCACACGAGGAAGCGTCTTTTTCTCGCATCGTCGCGCCGCGCATTGCCTTCCGGCTTGCATGCAATTTTCAGAGATATACGTACGCGCTGCGCTGCACATCGCGTCGAAACTCATCTCGCGTCTGCTCAATCCGAGACGTGTCTCTACATCCAACAACAACATATGGTATGTCAGGAGAAAATGCGACTCGACTAAGTCAATTCGTTATTTCATCAGACGTGAAAAAAGAAAGACGAGAAAAAAGCAGACGGCAGAAGGTCGTTTAAATATATGAATGAGCATTAAATTTAGCCAATAAACAATTTGAGAAAACGTGTGTACATGTGACGCCTACAAGTTGACATTTTCAGTTTCAAATTCAGCAAAAAAATGTCACACGCTCACACGAATGAAGAAGTAGACCAGCTTCATGTTATTTTAAATGCGTCCTAGTGCCGCGCTCTTTATTCCCCTTTCATTTCGCTTCATGACGGATTATTCTTTTTTTCGATCTCGTGAGCCTTTTAAAATAAAAATCTCCGGGTCGTCGTGATTGCAAATCAAACGCTTCCCGGTCGATGACGAGCGAGCGCGCCGCGTTGAAATACCGTCAAAGTAGTAAATCGACGATACCCGCCGAATCGAGCCGGAAAATATTTAATTACTAAATCCGGAATAGCGGCACGTTGGCACGTCTCTCCACCCGCTCTCTCGCGCGGATCCCGCGGGGCATATTCACCGCATCGAGCTCCAATCGCCCTCCGCGGATAGTACCCCTATTTCGGTAATATTTATAGAGCGTATGCAGATATCGTAATAAGGTAAATCGGTCGCGATTGTGCGTGACGATGCGTGCGCGTGTATGAATTACCTCATTGAGATACAATACCGCGAACGAGAGAAACGCGTCAACCAACACAAATGGGAATAGGCTCCCTTTTCATGATGGGAGCTTTTCATGTTGTTTGTAGAACGTTTGTACTTAATATTTCTAGTAATTTGAGCGGGGAGGAAGAGGGAGGGAGAGAGGGAGGAAGGGAGGGAGGGAGGGAGGGAGGAAGGGGGAGAGAGAGAGAGAGAGAGAGAAAGGAGAGATAAATTCCCGCAATTCACAATAGAGAAGCGCCAATCAATGCAGCACTGGGCGGATTACTGCACATTCGCGAACTTGATGTCGTTCATAATTGGCGAAAACGACGCGGAACCGCCGAGCGTGATGGGAATGACAGTTGCGACTACAGTCTGTAGAAACTGAATACGCTTGCAGACCGAACGTGCCTGCATTTCGGAGAAGCCGCGCCGTAGAGAGTGCATGCGTAATTAATGAAACCAATAAAGCCGTTCGCGCCCGTGGAAATTCGTTAAATTTAATTGGACGCGAGTAATCCCACGATCGAGCGAGGAGGCCGCGCGCGTGGGCGCGGGCGACGAGGGAGAGACCAGGTGGGTTCTGAAACGCGACAGGGGAGAAACGTCCGAATCCGCGATACCGGCTCGATTGTGAACGAGCATCGTGCGTGGAATCCGAGGATCGTTAAAAGCGGCGGGGAACCCTCGACGCGTTGTCAGCATCCTCGGCAGAAATTAAAACGACGCTTTTGTAGAAACTTTCGCGTTGCTCCATGAATCTCAATAACGCGGCTATAATTTCGCGAATGAGAGAGTGTCTCTTCGTTTCGTATAATTCGCGTCTTCCCTCGCGCGCTTATAGAATCTCTCGAGCAAAACACCGACCAAAATATCTCGGACATTTCACCTCACAGCTACTTTATCCGAAGAAATTCGTCAAATTACACTCGAAGTAAACTCGACTGCAAACAGGATATGTGGCCTTCTACGGCCATCTGTTAGAGAGCGCAGGAACTCGCAGTGCCATCGCGCTCGTGCGAGTCTCGGAAATTCGCCGGCGATATCGCCGCGGTGCTGGAGCAATCGCGTATTTCGGAGTCGCGCGATAATAACCGCTAACGCGGCACATGAATATTAATGAGCGTTAATGCGACACGGTCATTGGCGGCGCAAAGACCACGTGCGCCACGCGTATGTGCTGTGCACGCACGCGTATGACTGACCGCTTGAATTTTTTATTCGGCCGCCCTCTAAGTGCAACACCACACGCCGCCAATCGAGGATGCAATATATCGCTATTAATCCGGCTGACGAGTAACAACGTTTCGCGCGCCGGTCGCATTTACAGGAGCGCCGCCGCCGCGGCTCTACGTTCTACCGGCAGTCGTTGTTGGGAATTCGGTCGACACTGAAATATCGCATTTCCAACTAAATCTGGCCGAATCTAATTTTACGGGACCCATGTGCATTAGCGGATTAATGCACCTCCATTCCTGGCGGACCAAGTGATGAGCTGTATTTGCATGGCATTATACTTGCGTTCCCTATCCGTCGTCCCCGGCACCCGGCCCCCGGCCCCCGGCCCCGCCGCCGCTCCTCTCTCTATCCGTCCTACCACCCTCTCGTTCCGCCCCTTCAATCCTGTCTCTAATTATACGTGTAGCACCACTATCGGTCCTCTTGCACAGGTGATAATCATATTACTATCCTATCAACGTTATTGCCATTCCTGAACGCATACCACGATCGCACTATTTGAAGTGCTTGGACTAGCGCGGATCGATCGGTCGCTAAGAGGACTCCCTCCCCCTCCTCTGAGTGTGTGTCCTCTCGCAGTTCATTCGAGCTACGAGAGGGAGAATGAGAGAGACTGGAACGGGAGATTAGACAATGGCTTTGTATTTCTCGATTGACAATTAGCGGGGAGAATCTAATGGAACGGTGTTACGGTATACGACGAGCACGTAACATACGTACATATTCTCCACGCGGTGGTAAAGAGCGATGTTACGAGAAGACAGTCGACAGAGAATATTTATAACGATAACGAGAGTTTTACGTATCTCAGCGACACACCTGATCATGATTGCTAAAAAGGGTGGAGAATTAAAGGATTATGATTATTATTAGTTGAATAATGTTCACGTTGTTATAAACTTGCTTCATTCAAATTGCTAGATTCTTTCAGCTTATCCGAGCCGAGATATTTCTACTATAGGGATCTCTATAGGGATTATCGGTTATCCTGACGATAAGTATATATTCGCATAATGCACAGATACGTCTCAGACAGAGCGCAAACAGGACTTGAATAAATAACGATCTAATCGGGCAACGAACCTATGCTGTGTTCGACAACACGCTCGAAAGTTGCAGAAAGTGGGACGCGAAGCTATCAAGAAATACTGCAGGCGAGGAAGAAAATCGAGCTACGTGTTAGAAGCTCGTAGTAGTAGCATATATGTGTGCTACCCGCTCGTAGAGAAAATAAATTTACACAAGCGGGGATACGAAGCGGGGATATCAAGTTTCCGCGATTCCGCGAAATCGATAATACCTACATAAAACGGAGCGGACTATATTTAGAAATTTCACAGATTTTGAGTTCGATTAATCATCTACACCCAAGGTTGTCATTTTTTGCCCGATTTGTTAATCAAGCCGCCTTATTATCACGTTATTACTATCACAAAGAGAACATGGTCCTTGGAGAATCGATAGTGAGTTTATCAGATAAACCCACCGAAGTGGCGAAGTGACGAATCGAAGGAAGACATATATCGCACTACGCGATATTTATCTTCGCTTATCAAGCGTATGCGCGATACTTCGCCGTACCGGCGCGGCGCAGTGTCGAATTACAACGGAATATCGGCGTCGATGGCAATTTCGAGAAGCAAAAGCGCACGCCGATCCTCGGCGTCGGCAATTAGAGAACGGGTGCGCGAAAGAAATCGCCCTGCTCTGTAATTCTCTGTACAAACACTCGGCGCCGACGACGGCGCCTGTCTTTATGCGTCCCTCGCTACGTACGAGCACGTGTATGCACGCGATATGCAAATCCGCGGATAATGCGCATCGCGGCTGATCGCTCCCGCCCGCGAGTCGTAATTCGCGAGCGGGCATTTCTCTAATGAGACTTTTTTATAATTAAAGGATAAGAGAAGCCGTGCGCGCGCGAGTGTAGTGATAAGCGTATCGCGACGCTCCTTTGTTTTTATCAGCTTGCGCGAGAGACCGCTCGCCTCTCGGAGAATG